TATGCATTCCTCAAAACATTTAAATAATAATCTTTACCATCATATTTAAAAATTAAAAAATACATAGGCCTGGTATAGTCAGTGGTATAGCCTTCATGACAAGCAAGATTGTAGTAATAAATCATTCTTTTTTTAGATTAAATAGTGTACAAAAAGAGGCTATTGATACAACCCATTAGTCAATTATACAACATGGAACATGTGTCTTGCCCAGTAATACATTACTTATACAGGGTGTTTTTTTAAACTTGCTTCTTTACTTATATAAAAATGCAATAGAAAGAAATATGCAGTTTGCGGGAATCGTATATTGACGTAGGGGCCCCAATTGTTGTGAATTTAATGTGAAGTTCCCATTCACCCCCTTTCTCCCCCTACCCTTAACTAAACATTTCTAATTTTCAAGGTACCCCTTTTGAAAAAAGAAAAATAATGAATGGGAAATTCGTATTAAATCCACAACAATTGTGGCCCCTACGTCAATAGACGATTCCCGCAAACTGCATGTCTCTATCTATTGTAATTTTTACATAAATAAAGAAGCAAGTTAAAAAACCACACTGTATACTGTATTCACTATTATTATGAACAACTATAAACTTAACTTACATCTACTATAATAGAATTTTAACATGGCGTGTAATAGATGTTTCTATTCAAACCAATGCCGTGCTATTTACGATTATTGGGTCTGTTCAGTGTTCGTGTCGCCCCTTGTTAAGGAGAAGTGCAGTATATGGCGGGTTAACTTTCCGACCTGCCTTGGCATTAGACTCACAATGCCAATACTCAGCAATTAGTTGAGTCTCTCGAGTTATAACTGCCGCCAAACAGCGCGTTATGATCCGTTCCAGCGGGCGTTTGTCACTAACAGCTGGACTCTATCGATATGTCAAGGGTAATGAATGCAAAGTATTTTAAAGTAGGAGATCGGCCGCTAAGTGTTGGATCGCATCCAGTTTTAAGCGATTTACTGTGTGATTTTTAATAACGCAACTGATTTACCGGTATTGACTAATAGCTGTACAGTATTAGTCACAGTAAATAAGTAATTATTTTTAATTTTTTATCTATTCTACTGTTGGAGTCCAATTTAAACCCAACCAAACAATATTGACAGAAACACCTAATTATTAGGCTTGATGTCTAATGCATTGTTAGAGCTCCTTTTTAGTCCTGTGTTAAAACTCGGTCAATCTCGAAAGACGTTCAGCGTTGTGTTGATGCTGGGGCCCCGTGGTTGGACCGAGTGCTGGGACCCACCATATGCAGCAGATCTACTAAAGAACATAGAAATGATTTGTCCCTAGGTCAATGAGAACTGGCTCTGGCTGTATAGCTTCCTCCCGTAATAGCCACACAATTGTTATTTCTCTTAAGCCAATGTTTTACAAAGAGCTCCTACAAAAAGATCAAGAATCAGTGTGTATACTGTACACACCACAATTTTTTTTTTTTAATTATAACTAATAATGGTTTAATACAACTATTGTATAATATCATACAATCACTTTTTTGTACTGTAATGCCATAGACAAATAGAACAATACTGAACAATATAAACCCGATTTACCTGAAAAATAAGTTTTAATAATGTTAATTAGAAATAATGCTTTTTTAATGTTATAGTTTACTTAAATAATAACATACATGGCAAAACTGATCTATGTTAAGACTTATTTACGTATGTTAACGTTAAAATGCCGGGCACGAGAAAACTTTTTTATCAAAGAATATTTATGTTTGTATACTAACGAAAATCCCCCAATACAGCAAATCTGCAGACAAATAAAATCTTTAACAATTATCATTCCATTTGATTTTTTATGAAATTTTCTCTATTTAGACAGTAGGTTTAATTGCTACTTAGGTTTTGTGTTACAGAAAAAGTTATTATTTGTGTTTTTTTAGTGAAATGTCTAAATCAAATTAATGCAACTTTGATCAAAATACATCTGTAAACAAGCAAACTACAACTAGTAATGAAATTTCATATGAATGGCATGGGGATTTTAAAATCAAATATTGAATTTTTTATACCATATAACAACACTACAATATAGTAAATGTTTTTCTTTTCTATGCTCTACAAATTGTCTATAAAAAATTCTTAAATTTCATGTCGTGTGGGTTGAAAATGGATAAACCCTATTTTTACCCCATAAAACCTGGTCTACCTACCGTTTGAAAAAAAAACTTTCAGCATAAACAACTCTTAACATCGTAATTAATTATTACAGTAAACAAAAAATGGTTACCATGATGCAAGATAAATATACACATTCATCTAGTAAGCGAAACCAGAATTAAAATAGCTTTCCAAAGTATTAAACTCTTTTTTATGTGAATGATAAGCAACCCACTGAATTATGTTATTAAATATAATTTAAATAATAATTAATCACAACATAAAATGATCATAGGTTTGTTTCGTGATAAAACATGGCACAAATGATTATCTTAAGAAAATGACAGCACGCACTAGTCAATGCTGCCATCTAGTCGAGAACAAGAAAAGTATCAGAGACCTTGGACAACACAGTACCTTGTTGTGTAGTGTCCGACCATTGGCAACTTGTAATACTACATATAATAATTTACTATCGGTATATTGCTGGCAATTGCCATTATACTAAACTTTAATTCATCTCAAAACAGCGATTCGTTTCGATATCACGCACAACTGGATTCTCATTCGAACAATACAACTAGTTGTCCAACCACAATTGTATGTCTTAAATGATTTTGCATTTAATGTCATTAGATAGGCTATATCAACAATTTATCAGACTTAAAAGCGAAGGTACCAAACTGTATCGTTTTTGGTAATGCTCTTTCATTTACTAACATATGCTATTTAATTAATTTTAGTTAAAAGTAAGTTAATTGTGTATTTATAAATGTGTTGCTTTCTTTAAAGTTAGACACTATAGTAGTAAGAACAATTAAATCAGTAAAAGGATAATTTCAAAATGAAAACAATCTACATAGTTGTCCACGAAGGAAACTTTTGTTTTGCCCATCATTTAAAAATAACAAGAACCGTATGCTTAACTTATACTGACATTATGTATGAAGATAATTTTATTATGATATCTTAGATTATCAGATAACATTCGCTACTCTTGGATGTCGTAAAGGATGACTTAATCCGTACTTGTGTTAACTGCCCATTAGTTAGATTTGTGTTGGCGATTACAAATAAGAAAATAACCAACCATTTATGAGGTCTGTTTAACGGTTAAACGTTCTCTCTGAAATTGCACTAAACTTTTTTTCCTGAAGACCTGAAATAATGTTTGAAATAGGACCAAAGACATAAATAAGGTCTCAAAGAGTATTTCAAAACCTTTCACAGAATTTTTCTAAGGCAAACTAACCTTGTGCCAAACAAAATGTTTACCCGTATAAGATAACTATAAGCGATACTAGGATATATTTCATGAAAAGGGATATATTTATTTTAAAGTATACATTAATCCGATTAAATATTGTAAACATTCTTACTACATGTAATACAAATATATTATTATATAATAATACACCAATATAAATATACCTACACGTACATTTAAACTTTACTTATATGTATTATGAAGATGGCAATACTCATTAAACATTAAATTACCTTCATTTCCACTCCTGACACTCCAAATAGCGTGGCACAAAATCAACCGACAATTATTGACTAGCTGTGAGGTCTGAGGTGGTATATATAGTATTGGGATATGCATCACCAGATGCTGGCGAAACAGATCATTTCACCAGTTTAGTTATGTTTCATGGAGTATGAAACCACAAAAAAACTCTGCCACTGTGTACGAAATAGATTAATAATACCCCCGCCGCAGCAAACCTGCCGACTAAGCGAATTTCCATTTGTGTGAATTGATTTTTAATTAAACCTAATTAAATAACATTAGGTTTAATGTGTACCTAGGTTTGCTGCTACAAGGAAACTAATAAAGTGTATTTTTTGTAAAATATTAATAGTTTAGTATAAAATAAATAAATTAGCCAAGTTTGATCAAAATATATCCATAAACAAGCAAACTACAACATTTTACAATAGTCTCCATAAGAATAACATGGAAATTTTAAATTTATAGTTTTTTTGAATTTTATCCGTTACCAATCACTATGCAAAAACACTTTGATATACTAAATTATTTGTTTTTTTAAGCTCTTTAAAAGGGTCTAGAGATAAATTGGGAAATTTTGTGTTTTGATGGTTAAAAATTAGAAAAACCAATTTTTACCCCATAAAACCCCCCGTAAAACCCCGTTCCCATGGTCCGATCATACTGGTTCGCGAACTCATTCAAGTTTATCCTGCCTTACACCTTTAAACCAAATTTCATCAAAATCGGACAAAAATTACTCAAGTTATCGCGTATAATACTAGGGTTAAATCTCAGACGGTTGGTGAACATAAAAAGGTCAAAACTGTTTGCTCGTTTCCACAACACCAATGAAACCCTCATTTAGATTACACAACTGTGTTGTTAGTGATGCTAGAATTTAAGTTCCCATAAATCTTTTTTACTAATACTTTAACATATGTTATCCATATGACATATGACATATGTCATATGTTTATGTTATAACATAAATATGATGTGTGTAACAGGTAGATTTCTTAGACGCGGGCCTCTTGGTCACATATATTTTAGGCACTACATTCATAATACCTAATAATTAATGTATTCATGCAAAAGTAACCATGTGTTTTCTGACAAACGAATTTCTTTCTATAATAAATACATAGTGAGTTCAATAGTAAAAAGTCATTGATGAAATTTTATATGTATTACATGTTGGATATAGACACTTTTACTGGTTAATTAATGGTGATAGAATAACTTTTTTTAAGCAATTGAACACGTTCCACTGTAAATCCATAATATAAGAAAAAGGGAAATAAATTCCAATAAAATTAAGGAAAGGATTTATTCACATAGGTATAAACCTTTATATACAAAATTACAAATTAATCTCTACCATCCGTTGTGATCAGGTACATACTGGCCCTCGTACCCGTGGGCGTACGCGTAGGGTGCGTAGGGGACGTACGGGACATGACCTCCAGCCTTGGCGAGCTCAGCGAAGTGCTTGGCCTTAGCGGCGGCGACCTCTGGGGTGTCAGCGATGTAGCCTGCAGGGGTGACGACGGGGACGGCACCGGCGGCGGCCCCAGCGGAGGCGAGGCGAGCAGCGTGAATAGCCTTGGCGTGGGCAACCTCAGGAGTGTCTGCTAGGTAGCCCGAGGGAAGAACCACAGGGGCAGCTAGAGCTCCGGGGTAGTGAGAGTAGCCGTAGGGATAGCCAGCGCCAGGCCACCACCCGCTAGCGGACACTACGCTCACACTCACTATCGCCAACAGTAATGCAACCTGCAACAGTAGCAAACTCATACACTATACACACTTTCATGGTACGTTGATGGTAAAATGGTTAGTGCTTCATGTGATCTCAAGTTTTCGGAGTTTATATAGTTTTCTGAAACATAGGAGCACATCTTTTGTTTTATTTTATTTACTACTGAAAACATGTTAAATCAAAGATTAAAAATAATACCTCATCCATACCCATCCACCAGTATAGATTAGGTATGATTTTAATAAATATTAAATGTATTATTATAAACAATAATTAATAATAGTAATATATTTATAAAATATTATAAATTTCTTATTATAAATCGTAAATATTATTTATCGAGCATATTGTGCTTTTCTTTATAATGACCATTTATTAAAGCCTTTACTCCAACATTAATCAATATGTCCGGTTTCGAGCAACAGGTTCCCTAATCACCGTTGACTTATATTTGAACATAAATTTCATTTTACAACAATAATTTTCTAAAGATCATTATGATTTGAGGAGACGTGTCTCATGCAGCTATAATCATAACAATAAACTCATCCAAATAATAAAGAAGTTTTTAGACATGCTCATAGAAATATTGTACTACTACACACACTTGTAGAAAGAAATTACCTAGGTTATTTATTCAAAACATTATTATTGATATGTATAACATAAGGTTCATTTAATGGACATAATTATTTAGTGCCACATCTAGATATAACTATTTAAAAATCACATTAAGAGTTAGTTTGTTTGTTTACTTTTTACCTGAGTTAATATATTTATTCTCATTATATATGTAAGCAGTAATTACGATTGAGAGTTACCTGTATAATTTGTATGGTAATTGTGTGTCACAGTTTTTATTGTATATTAGAGACCCACGTTATTCGCTAAAGTATTCTAATCCCGTTGCGACGCACGGGCAAAACCACTAGTAAACTACATTTTCGTAAATAGACAAAATGGGGGCTACGGTTAACTTGGGGGTTTTGAAGATTTAGTACATAAAAACTAAATTGCAACCGTAAATTTTTAAAGACAAGTTTGTCTTTCGTTCAGAAATGATTCCTTAAAATGTCGGTAGTGAATTCGGGGACACACTGTGCACAACATTTACATAAAACCATAGCATATGTTATGAATGTATGTACATTTTGTTTTACGCTAACTGAATAATTGTCAGTAAACTAAGGGTATTATTAAGACAATTAAATTGATACTAAAACTACATAGGCCTAGGTCTTCAGCTAACGTAAACTTTGATCAATGTGTATCGGCTCTATTCAAGCTGACTATCAAATTTCTTGTTTGCTATCTGAACATGGTAGTTATGCTAGAGCATGTAAAATTATTAATTGAGTTTAATTATCAAGACAATTATCTTTTTTATATTACTGATATCTAATTTTATGTTATTGTTTTGTAAAAATATTTTGTAAATAAGGATTTTCAATGGATATTATCAAGTATTCATTGACAGTAGATTAGACAGTAGGTTGTACTGAAGTCACGAAGTCAGTTAGCGTAAAACAAAATGTACATACATTCATAACATATGCTATGGTTTTATGTAAATGTTGTGCACAGTTTTGCCATTGGTAACAAAATATACTTTAACTATACATTTAAACACGAAAATAATGATTTTTGTTTGGTTATGGGCCTATCGTAGCAAATAAGAAAATATACCTGTACTGCGTATTTAATCTTTCATTGATAAAAGTGCCCATGCACATGTTGAACTTTGTTTAGTATTGGAACAGCAGTTTTACCAAGTTCAGCTCTTAAAGAAGCCTTAAGTAGGCTATTTTACCTTTGCAGTTGATAGCGATAAAAATAGTAATAAAATAGTTATCACAAACAAGGCTATGCTATCTATATGCATTAGAGTAAGTGATATTTAGGTTTCAATAAAGTAATATAGCTTGATGAAGTAAAATAAAAACAAACTGTTTACAAAGGTAGGAATTAAAATGTATTCCTGTAAATATAAAACACGTAGAAACTAAAATACTGACTAAAATATCAATTTCAATAATATTGTTTCTCATTTTACCTTATTAACAGGTAATTAACTTGGACTAAAACTGTTTACGAACAAAGAGCAAGATGTTTATTGTTTATACAATGTGTTTTAATAATTTTATAATGTAACTTGTTTTCTGAAGGGAAAAATAATTGTAAAAATTAAAATGTGATTCAATGGCAAAGGGTTAGTGTAAACTTACCAGGGACTGCATGATGTTCTGCGACTGTCCCACCCAATATGTGACAATCCTTTAAATACAAAGCCTCAAGGCCTGTCTCCCTGCAAAGGCGACCGGTTCTGAGGTAAGTTACGTACGCACAAGTACACACACTAGCCTATATGTACAAACAAAACACACACACACACACCAACACATGCGAGATGCTCAGTATGGGAGACCAAACACTTCCTTTGGCCAATCTCTAAAGGCGTCTCTGGAGCAAGGGCAATATAATTGACTCGGCGTATTTTTTTTATATCTCTTATTCCTCATTTTCTATATGCCAGACATTGCCTTCATTTGAATATCTAATAACGTAAATTATTGATGTCCATTGTAGCAATGCTATTAACAGACTACTTTGTGTTTATGGACGCACTTGTATTTTACGCATGTATGGGCGCACTTGTATGGGCGTCGTCAACCCCCTCTTAACATGAGCAAACCCTGGACAAAGATGTATCTTCAATTGTTAGTAGTTTGTACACATCGAGACAAATCGAATATTTAAATGGATGAATACAAAATACAATTAATACAGCATTCAAAATAAGATTCATTTTACACCCTAATATGTATAAAAGAAACGCTTGAACATTGAAGGATAAAGAATGAAGCAGTAACTTGTATTGTTTTTGTACTGTCTTTACACAATTACCTTTTCAGTCTTAGATAACTAGTTTATAAAACGATGTTATATCATATCAGTATAGTCTAATTTTTTATCATTATTAAAGGTTATTAACCAAATAAATATATAGACAAATGGAACATAAAAAATAAACCTCAGAGTGTACTGATTTGAAAAAAATATCGGTATGAACGAATTCTAATAAGGGCTCTGCCCCACAGGCCGATATTTTTAAAAGCCTTACAAGCTTAAGAAGTTAAAATTAATTAATTTAGTAACTTATAACAGCTAGCCGATGCATTGTTATATAAACCAGCTGTAGAGAGATGATTTTTTATTGGAGTTAATTTACATTGTAGACATTTGTGAGTTATTTAGTAAGAGAGTTATGTTTATTGATTAATAGAATTTCGCTTATAATTTTCTGTGAAATGTATATAACGGACTACAGGTAAATAGGATAGAATAAAATTGAAGAATTAGGGTAAAGTATAATACCCCCGCCGCAGCAAACCTGCCGACTAAGCGAATTTCCATTTATCTGAATTGATTTTCAGTTAAATATATTTTAATAACATTAGGTTTAACGAGTACCTAGGTTTGCTGCTACAAGGAAACTAATAAAGAGTGTTTTTGAGTAAAATATTGATAGCTTAGTACAAAATAAATAAATTTGCCAAGTTTGATCAAAATATATTCATAAACAAGCAAACTACAACATTTGACAATATTCTCCATAAGAATAACATGGGAATTTTAATTTTACAATTTTTTTAATTTTCTCCGTTACTAATAATCAAACAAAAATACTTTTATATACTAAATTATTTGTTTTTTTAAGCTCTTTAAAAAGATCTAAGAAAAAATTGGGAAATTTTGTGTTTTGAGGGTCAAAAGTGAGAAAAACCAATTTTTACCCCATAAAACCCCCCGTAAAGCCCTGTTCCCATGGTCCGATCATGCTGGTTCGCGAACTCATTAAAGTTTATCTCGCTTTACACCTTTAAACCAAATTTCATCAAAATCGGACGAAAATTACTCAAGTTATCGCGTTCACGGACGTATATATATAAGTCTATATATATATATATATATATATATATATATATATATATATATACATATATAAAAATTTGAATGAATAGTGTTTTTGGCCTCTGGTAACATCAAAATGAAAAAGTAAATCGGTCCCTGGTCTAGGTCTTATCTAAGTCTTACCGTGCCACCTACGATAGCTACTTCCCTATAGGGAAATTCGCTAAAAGCACATGAAACATCAATGCGAAAGGGCCTTATTGAATTTATTGCTTCACTTTTGCATGCTGTTTGATTTTTTAGGATCTGTTGTCTTTAAACTTGAGTAGGATTTCAAAGGAAAGTAGGTAGGGCCTATACACTTAAACAAGTTTATCTTTTCACATTAAATCATATAGTTACAATTTTCTTAAACACGCATCAGGGCCACACTTATAGGCCTACACCGTGGTGGTTAACTTAGGAAACTGAACCCCCTACCGGAAACTAAGAAATAGTATGATAGTTCATTACTATATTTTATTCCTAGTATCGTAAGTGGCATTTTCCGGCTCGTGCTCAAGATACCAACCCCGCAAATGTGTGAGGCAAAGCCGAACACAGGAATGCCGTAACTCAGTTCACGTGCGAGGCAAAGCCGTGTATGTGAGATTTATTTTCACGTACAAGTCGTAGCCGAGGAAGGAAATAATGGAGCAAGTGCCGGAAAATCACTTTTGATATAAGTTATAAACGATAATTTTCCATCACGGGGCAAAAATAAACAAATAAGACTAACATACCTCAGTAATATTAAATTATTATATCTCTCAATTTTCGTAATAGTTTGTAATATTGATAAACTTTTACTCAATAAAATAGAAAGAACTGATAAAATGTAAACAAGTAATATAAACAGATCATAAATATTAATAAAACATGTTAATTTATCTTCAGATGGCAGGCAGTAGATAGTTGACATAGAGTACTCAATGATATTTTTTATCATCAAAATAAAAGAAAACTCCAAAGAAAAACTACATTACAACTTAAATAAACGGTATCAGCATTCTGACACATACTTTCTCCCATTAGTTTGTCAACAACCTTTATCATGTGTAAAGCGGTGAGAGTAAATATACGGAAATGGGATTTATACAATTTTGTTCACAATTTAAAGGACTACATACTAAATTTTTATCAAAATCTTTCGGGCCATTTTTGTGAAAATCGGATTTTTCCGTGATTTTATGGGGTTTTATGGGAAAATAACATAATTTACAATAACTTTTGAACCATAATTTTTACAGAAATGGGATTTGTACCATTTTGTTCAGAATAAAAAGGACTATAACATACAAAATGTTTATCAAAATCGTTCAGGCCGTTTTTGGGAAAATCCTATTTTTCCGCTTCTTTATGGGGTTTCATGGGAAAATTCCCATTAAAAATAAAAAAAATTTTAAAAATGAAAAAACTATCAAAATTTTAAGGACTATAACATACTATGTTAAAATAAAACCGGATTTTTTTCTAAAATCCTAGTTTCGTTATTTTATGGAGTTTTTATGGGAAAATAACATAATTTACCATAACTTTTGAACCGTAATTTTTACAGAAATGGGATTTGTACCATTTTGTTCAGAATTTAAAGGGCCACAGTATACTACATTTTTATCAAAATCGTTCGGGCCATTTTTGAGAAAATCCGATTTTTCAGGTTTTTTATGGGTTTTTATGGGAAAATCCCCATTAAAAATCAAAATTTCAAAAAAATGAAAAAAACGCCTGGAGATACCATGGATTAGAACCTACATACCAAATTTAATCGAAATCGGACCACAGGTGTAGTCCCTAGCTCTGTACACACACACACACACACAGACATCACTTTGAAAACCACTTTTTTGGGTCCAGGGGGACCCAAAACGGATATATCCACTCAAAACTCAAACTCGAAAATTTTGACGAAAACAATACTTTCTCCATATACTATGGTATAGGGGGAGAAAGTAAAATTACAAGTTCAAGGCTATTTTACTTTCTCCCCCTATACCATAGTATATGGAGAAAGTATTGTTTTCGTCAAAAATTCGAGTTTGAGTTTTGAGTGGATATATTCGTTTTGGGTCCCCCTGGACCCAAAAAAGTGGTTTTTGAAGTGATGTCTGTGTGTGTGTGTGTGTGTGTGTGTGTCTGTGTGTGTGTCTGTGTGTCTGGATGTGTACAGAGCTAGAGACTACACCTGTGGTCCGATTTCGATGAAATTTGGTATGTAGGTTCTAATCCATGGTATCTCCAGGGGTTTTTTTCATTTTTTTGAAATTTTGATTTTTAATGGGGATTTTTCCATAAAAACCTATAAAAAACCTGAAAAATAGGATTTTCTCGAAAATGGCCCAAACGATTTTGATAAAAATTTAGTATGTTGTAGCTCTTTAAATTCTGAACAAAATGGTACAAATCCCATTTCTGTAAAAATTACGGTTCAAAAGTTATGGTAAATTATGTTATTTTCCCATAAAAACCCAATAAAATAACGAAAAATAGGATTTTAGAAAAAAATCCTGTTTTATTTTAACATAGTATGTTATGGTCCTTAAAGTTTTGATAGTTTTTTCATTTTAAAAAATTTTTAATTTTTAATGGGAATTTTCTCATAAAATGCCATAAAATAACAGAAAAATAGGATTTTCCCAAAAACGGCCCAAAACGATTTTGATAAAAAATGTGTATGTTATAGTCTTTTATATTCTGAACAAAATGGTACAAATCCCATTTCTGTAATAATTATGGTTCAAAAGTTATTGTAAATTATGTTATTTCCCCATAAAAACCCCATAAAATAACGGAAAAATCTGATTTTCACAAAAATGGCCCGAACGATTTTGAAAAAAATTAGTATGTAGTCCTTTAAATTCTGAACAAAATCGTACAAATTACATTTCCGTATATTTACTTTCCCTGCTTACACATGATAAAGGTTGTTGACAAACTTATGGAAGAAAGTATGTGTCAGAATGCTGATACCGTTTATTTTTGTTCTACTTTCATTTTTGGTGACGAATTTCTTCGCAACTTCGTTTATAAGTGTTTTTTTTTTATTTGAAACACCAACTACTTCTTTTAGTTTTAGACTACTTATCATTAAAAATCTACTACAAAACATAGATAGTTTCGTTATTAAAATGAATTCACTAAATAACATATCTCAGATAAATATACCTACTAATTGTTTCAAAATGTTGTACTTTTTATTTTACCAGTTTGTTATGGGAAATTTTGTTGTTCTGTATTCCTATACTTTTACCGTGATTTCTCTGGTGGAAGGATTTTAGTTATCTCTGAGATTCTTTTCATGAAATTTTCAGGGGATAGAGCAAATTTCAAACACATACTATGCAGAAAAAGAGAGAAACACAAGCTAATGCGTGTTTCTGTATACATTTATATTGGAAAACAATTAAATCAGCTAGTTTAAATGATTAAAATTAACATAAACAAAACACTACCGTGCGTAGTGGGTAAATAAAAAACGAACCTAGAGCGATAGAAAATAAATTTCGTGCAAGCAAAACAATTTTATTGCAGCTGATCGTTTTCCCCTTGCTTTTAATTAGAGCTTTGGAAAAAACTACTTTCTTTGATATCAGCTATTGATATCGAAAATAGCTACTTTCGGTACGGAGTGTTGATTAGTATTTGTGTAACAGCATGCAGAGTGGCACTTTGCACTCGTATTATACATTACGTTTGTCCTACAAATACTATAAGGCATAATAATAATGGGTAATTGTATGTAAATACAGGTTAGCTATTACTATGCAGTTTCACAAATAACAAATTCAAATCTAAATGAAACTGTCTCACAAGCAAATCAAAACCTAAATGAAATTGTTTAACAAATTAGAAAATAAAAAGGTGAATGAAATTTCAAAGCCATAATGAACAACAACAACAACGTTGTTAACAACACCTTGTTACAACAACAATGTTAATACCTTGTATCAATGGACAAAGGAATGACAAATAAACACCGCACTAGCAGGTGGATTTATCAGTGTTGCCAACTTGTTTTCAAGCATACCCGTATTACGTGCCTAATACTAGAGTAACCAATTTCCAAAACCTGATATTTATATTTTTCACAACTTTCCAGTATTCATCAAAAACTGATAAATTATATACAAATGAAGATAGTCTTATAATTTATTTTTGTAAAATCATAAGAAAACCCTGTTTTTAGATTTATATAGTGCTTTATAATCACAGGTAATTAGTTTTTTTATAACAAATATTTAACTTCTGGATGTAGCTGGCTTTTGAAATGGAAAAGAATTAACAGGTTTTGGAATTATACAGGGTGTTTTTTTAAAAACTTGCATCTTTATTTATGTAAAAACCGCAATAGATAGAAATATGCAGTTGGCGGGAATCATCTATTGACGTAGGGGGCACAATTTTTTTGAATTCAACGTTACATTCACATTCCCCCCTTTCCCCCCCCCCCTGCCACCAACTTAATTTTTTTTAAATAGCAAGGTACCCCTTGTGACATATCAAATAAAAGAGCATGAAAAAAGAAAATGTTTGATGAAAAAAATTGAAAATCGGTCCATAAGTTTGTGAGATATTCCCCCCCTCCCCCCCGGAACTTAATTTTTTTTTAATAGCAAGGTACCCCTTGTGACATATCAAATGAAAGAGCATGAAAAAAGAAAATTTTTGGTGAAACAAATTTTAAAATCGGCTCATGAATTTGTGAGATAATTCCCCCCCTTTTCCCCTACCCATAACTTGTTTTTTAATAGCAAGGTACCCGCCCTTGTGACAAATCAAATGAAAAATAAATTTCACCAAACATTTTCTTTTTTCATGCTCTTTCATTTGATATGTCACAAGGGGTACCTTGCTATTAAAAAAAATTAAGTTCCGGGGAGGGGGAGGGGGAAATATCTCGCAAATTTATGAACCGATTTTCAATTTTTTTTTCATCAAACATTTTCTTTTTTCATGCTCTTTCATTTGATATGTCACAAGGGGTATCTTGCTATTTAAAAAAATTAAGTTGGGGGCAGGGGGGAAAAGGGGGGGGATGTGAATGTAACGTAGAATTCAAAGAAATTGGGCCCCCTACGTCAATAGATGATTCCCGCAAACTGCATATTTCTATCTATTGCGGTTTTTACATAAATAAAGATGCAAGTTTTTAAAAAAACACCCTGTATAGGAAGCCATGTTGTTTCTAGTCAATTTCCAAACCCTGTTAAAACCATTTCCATTTCCATAACTTGTTAAAGAGATGATTCAATAAAATAACCCATTTTGCAAAAAAACCCTGTAATTACAGTAAAATATTATTAGAAACCTATCAGCGTCAAAATTTCAAGAACTTTACTATATCTAAAAGGCGAAATCTTCTACGTCTACAAATCAAAGTCTATCAGCTCTTTCTGCCCATCACCAAGTGCCTCTTGCTCTTCAGCTGGGTTTTGTCTTCTGAATACTTCTGTATAAAACTTCAATAGTTTATTAGCGTCCCAATTTTCACTGAAGTGCAGTTCCAAAAGTATTTTTACACCTTCAAGCCACGCTGACTTTACAGCAAATCCTTTTTTCACCTAGCCAACACTTATTTCCCTTGTTTAGAATGAAACTAGCTGTACCCGCGGGTTTTGCCCCGTTTAACTTCATAAGTATTCGCGTGGCTCAATCGAGTCCTGGTTGAAGTTCATTCGCTACGCTCACTCACCTTTAGATTGGAGCTCGTTCGCTGCGCTCATTTGCCCTCAGGTTAGCTCGTTCGCTACGCTAACTCGCCTCCAGGTTGAAGTTAGTTTGCTACGCTCACTCACCTTTTAGTTGCAAATTAGCTGTAGATGTACAAAAAAAATAATAGTCCTGCACCCTGTTGGTAATCCTTGTAACTTTAACGCTATTGAACATCATGGAACAGAACCAACTTGTTTAATTGAAACAGCTCTTAAGATTCATTAATTCCTTTTAAATATGAAAAATCATAAGTTTAACATGGGAAACTCCAGAGCCACCGGGGCGGAGCCCGAAAGCCCGTCCAGAATAAAAAACTTCTTAGTTTTCCTATTTAATGCCCAAAGAATCGGTGTACCGAATTTCAGCCTCCTAGGTAAATGGGAAGTGGGAGAATTAGTGATGAGTGAGTGAGTGAGTCAGTGAGTCAGTGTGGGCTTTGCCTTTTATATATTTAGATAATAATATTCCTAATTATAGTAATATACTAAGTTATAGGGAAAAAGTATTTTAGGGAAAGAGAAATAGTTAGCTGGTTTTGGAAATGTTTAACAATGGCAGCCATGCTGTACTAAAGTTATATAACTGGTTTTGGATGTGTAATCATGTATAATTTTATAACAGGTTTTGATTCTGTAGCTGAAGTAGAAATAACAGCTTTTGGAAATTGACACACTTTTCAAATGCTTTTTAAATATATATTTAGCAGGTTTTGGAAGTAAATAACAACTAGAAATGATAGCAGGCATTCTGAAGTAGCCATAGCAACCAACAACTCAATTTCGAAAAATGTGACCTATAACAGGTTTTGGAAAATTGGCTACTATTTTGTGTTGTTTGGTTGAAATTCTGGAGTGCGGCAAACTTATATGATTGCATGCAAAGTTAAATAAATGCGATAAAGTAAGTAAACGCAGAAATCAGCTACTTTGCATGCTATAGTCAGTGCCGGCTATATTGTATACATTTATTTGAAATTGGTAGATCTATTTATTTCATACTATTCTATTAACATTTCACAAAAAAAAAACTAAATTATTACCTTGCCTGTTGCAGATAAACAAAGTACTCACTAAATTTAATGTTTTTTTAAATCGGAAATAAATCTGTAAAACTTAAGGAAAGATATTAGTGAAAATCCTCCAGGCTTACTCTGCAGATTTTCTTCGTAGGGGGTATTGAATGTTCTTACAGGATTTTTTTTTTGATAATGGGTTTGATTTTTGGACGTTCTTATGTGAGAATCAATGACGTTTCTTGTAGTTTGTGTACAGTATATATAATAATAATATTTGTTATTTATTTTGGTTTAAAGTTATAGGTTAATCCTAAGTCCACAAGACAAAAAATCTTAACATTTTCTACAGTTGATCCAGAAGGATGATAAATCTATGATGAAGTATATTTAGTCTATCATATTATAATTCATACAAATTACGGTATTAAAATAGTTTTTTTGGATTATTAACAACTAGCAACTATACCCGTGCCTTGCAACAGGGACAGTATGCAAAAAAGACAATGTTGTTTCTTTGAAAATGCTTTAAAAATGGATGCACTCCTACCATTTCATATTTAGATACGATATTGAACTGAATTAATTAATATCATGTTAACGTGATAATAGTATGTTTTTGTGAACTCAGACTATAAACACTTATTTAGGCTACTTGGGATACAAAATCAACTATATATTTTAAGGTATAATCAAATAACATGTTGAATGGCATAAATACATTTTGTTGTTCTACTTCCTAGAAGGCTTCCCTCTTTTATATTTAAACTACTTTAATTGTCGTACAATTTCTTTAAACATAACAGTTTCGAAATATGGTAGGTGTTTTATGGAAATTTTTACAAAAATGCACTACTTCAAAGAAATAAGCTTGCTTGGTTCGTAAAATGTCCTTCAATAATTAATTCATCCCGAATAGTTTTAATGAGGTGGAATGAGAAAAAAACGCAGTATTATAGGTTAGTTCATACTGACCTTTAATTGCACATAAATATAGAATGAGAATCACATTTGTTACACTTATTTATTAAAACTAAGAGGTGACATATTTACAAAAAGGGAGGGAAGAGGTCCTGGTATCACAGTTTGTCTCAATGGTATCCGTGTCCATGAGGCGCCCATCCAGCGTGGGAGTGCGCGGCGTGCGCCACGGCGGCGAGGTGTGCTCCCTTGGTGGCGGCGACGTCATGGGTGTCGGCGAGGTAGCCTGAGGGTAGGACCACGGGCTTGGCGATGGGTCCGTGGTAGGGAGCGCCACCATAGCCAGCACCATATCCTGCACCAGCGTATCCTGCACCAGCGTATCCTGCACCACCATATCCTGCACCAGCGTATCCTGCACCAGCACCGAGGGCTCCAGCTCCATAACCTCCAGCGTACGATCCGTCGTAGTCACCACCGTACCCAGCGGCGTGGCTGGCTGCCTTTGCCTTGGCTAGGGCCACAAAGTGAGCTCCCTTGGCAGCTGCTACCTCATGGGTGTCGGCGATGTGTCCATCAGGGAGAACAACAGGGGTGGCGAGAGGTCCGTGGTACTTAGGTCCGTCGTAGGCGCCATGTCCAGCCGCTCCAGCGTAGCCTGCTCCAGCGTAGCCAGCGCCTGCGTATCCTGCACCACCGTATCCAGCACCATGTCCAGCGCCTGCGTATCCAGCGCCTGCGTATCCAGCTCCTGCGTCGCCATGGTAGCTTCCGTCGTCGTATCCCCCGGCGTATCCTGTGGTAGCGGCCGCCTTAGCTACAGCTGACAGATGTGCGTGTTTTGCAGCTGCAACTTCGTGTGTGTCGGCTATGTGACCATCGGGAAGCACCACTGGCACTGCAAGTGGTCCATGGTACTTGGGACCGTCGTATCCAGCTCCGTATCCAGCACCATAGCCAGCACCGTATCCAGCTCCATAGACAGCTCCGGACCAGCCAGCTCCGCCGTGACCGGCACTACCGTAGTGAGCTCCACTAGGCTTCGTCAGCCCTCCTTGGGCGAACAAGGCGACTGTGGCCACACAAACTACCTGCAACATATTTTGGAATTTAAAAAGTGTACCGAATAGATGCAGCCAATATGCATAATATTTCTTTTAAATCATGAGATGTGGATATTTGCTTCTGAACTAGTTACGATAATAATTTAGTTACTTTCAGACATCCAGTTCAACTACAATCTATTTCTTTCAACCTAGGTTTCCAAATATCGCCAAGATAATTTCAGGCACGGTGGCACGAGTACAAACCAATATGAAATGGAGTCAGTCCATTGGACATCGTTGTGTCCCACAAAAATAACTATGTAAACTACATTTTTGTCTACTACGTCCCTAACTCTATTTAAACGTAAATCTAGTTTTGGGATGAACCCCACGAAAAAAACTAATACCCCTGCCGCAGCAAACCTGCAGGCTAACCGAATTTCCATTTGTTTAACTGGAATTCCATTAAATATTCCCATATAAATTGATCAATTTGTTCCTATTTCAATATATAAAGTTAATTTTAATTAGTACTTAAGTTTGTTGTTACAGATAAGATAATAAGGTAAGTCTTTTTATTGACATGTAGATGGATCAGTATGATATAAATATTTGAATAAAATATGTTACTAAACTATCTAACTACTAAAATTTATTGTTAAACCATCCATGAAAATAGCATAAGAATTTTAACTTTCAGTTTTTTTTCCCCCCGTAGCCGTTAGGCATACAACATCGCTTTAACATACTAAATTATTATTTTTTACGGTCTACCAAATAATATGGAAAGAAAATTAAAAAAATGTTATGTTTTTAAGTCAATAACTTTAAACCCTCAATTTGTGCCTCATAACTCCCCCCCCCCCCATACAGCCCTGTTACAATAGTCAGATCATCCTGGTTAGAGAATCCGTCCAAATAAATTCATGTTAACACGTTTGTACCGAATCCCATCATAATATTTATATACATTTGAACGGATAGTGTTTTGGTCTCCTAAAGACATCAATACGAAAAAGTAAATCGGTCCCGGGTCTAGGCCTTACTATGAGACCTACAGCACTAGCTTATTTCTTATATGGGTAATTATTTAAAGCTGAAAAATACCGACTTTATGTAGGTATTTTTGTCAAACATTTAAATTTCATAGATATTCATAGTCTAATAATGCACAAAGAGATGTGTATTTATCATTGTAAATTACAATAACATAAATACAAATAAATCTTAATAACAATTAGGTTTTATATTCATTAATGGGAACTGCATAGTTTATTGAAATATGTGGATTAACTTACACTGATTTACTACTGAACTCACAATAACTGAATAAATTGTACAATTTATATCTTCGACCCTATCTGTTATGGGAAAAGCTGCTCTAGCCATACAACGCAGTTATTAATTAGCCACATAAAATATGCTTTAAATATGTAAAATATTTTTTTTATAATGTTTTTTTAGCAATGGAATCATAGGATTATAATGTTATAGATTGACACAATTTTTGAGCAAGATTGGTCTATCTGTACAGTGTAGGAATTTGGTCCTCGAGGTCCCGGATTGACATCACACCAATCACAACATGTATTTAACCTAAATGATAATTTCGTGGCCCTCTGTCCCTAGCTTTAAGTAACGTATAAATCCGTTCTGGGAAAGAGCCTCTCGTCCTATGATGTAAAGGTGTGACGTGAAACAAAATAAAAAATAGTAGACATATTTGTATTCCCATTGTAACCCAAGTGTGTTACATCAACCTAATATATTTTGATGTAATACAAAATAAAAGGAAACCGGAAGGTGTATCGCAAATAAAAAAGTATGAAAAGTAAATGCGTATGAATAAATACATAACTGTCTAGTAGCTTGAAGTTAGCAATCCTACATTGTAAGTGTGGTTTCCCCATCTCCAGTGAGACCGCCTGGGGGGTCTGGGATACTGCATCTCCTCCGCCCACAATCATTACTGAGATTAAGTAATTACAGCTAAGTAAATGGCCCGAAACGTGGTTCAGCTAAACACACAGTCGCACTCACTGCTTATTACTTCTCCCTACACAAGTAATTGACAAACGTTGCCAATTTACACTTAATCTGTGTACAAGGGATTACAGTCAAAGTATTGTAGGACTTTTATTATATTTTATGCATGTAAGATTTGGTAACGGATGTTCAGTTGATAAATTCTTTTGAGAAAAGTCTCAACTTAGCAAGTATTTTTTACGATTTTGCGTTTCAACTCCTATTGTACTAAGCTAGATATGACGATATTGATTCAAGGTTGTCAAGATTGGAAAGATAATTCTAGTAACATATATACTGTTTGATTATACAAATGCATGTAAAACCCATGAGAATTCTAGCTTTAAAAATGAAATTGACGATCTAAAAACAATTCCAAGGTCACATCTTACAGCTCCATCCCCTCGCCCCTCTGAAAGGTTTGATTTACTGTTAGTATCCCTGTTTACGACTTCCAGTCCATCAGCTGGTTTACACCTATTGGCACCTTGGACTCGAGTGGCCGTTACGCAAATAGCTACTATAAGTACTATAAAACATGAATTCAACTCAAAGAATTTGTTCGTACACTTTTCCTTACTGTACTAACTAGTTGTTTTGCACCCTCACAATAAAAAAAAATATTTACACAGATTGAGTTGATAAATGTTAGCTTTGACTCAGTAGCAATTCCATAAAATCCAATCCCAACTATGGATATGTATTATATAAAGTAATAAGATCAACAATAATGTTATTTGCTAGCATTTGAGCAATGTCCTATTTACTTATCTTTGAGCTATTACGTCAGATTCATTATTGCATTAGTTACAGTTTATTAAAGATTTAATAATAAACTTCGTTGATTTGGAAAGTGTGTTAAAACTCAAAAAGCTTTCTGAAGTTGGGCTTTAAAAAATCTCAATGCTTCCCTTTTAAGCATTTAGTACACTAGTACTAATATCGGCTAATGTACTGAATGTTAATGTAGTTAATGTAATGTATTGAAGTAAACTCTAAATTTCCGGGATAAATTTGTTGTTCAACATATTGCAATTACGTTTCTTGTTTGTAGTATAAATTGTTAGTTTTACTTACAATGATTGCAAACAATAACAAGTGTGGTAAGTTTGGATAAAAAGGTTTGTCCAATCCAATGTGTTTTTTATTATATCGTAGGATTTCAGGGCGTTGTAAAAAACTACGAAAGACAATTGCGGAGTTAAAATGTTTTTCGTATGTCATCTACTTGCTAACTTTAATGATGCCCAACTATGTTTGTTTATGTCAACTTAGCTTGATTGATCGGGCAGCTAGCATTAATGTAAAAGGTCGTATTTAGATAACTCACGAAGGGAAAACACAATGTGAAAATAAAATGATACAGTTAAAAATTAATAGATTTTCCGATTATAAACCGGTGCACGCAATTAATCGTAAATAAGTTCTCTACGAGAATTATTTACTAAAGCTGGGTTTTCCTAGACGCGGAGTCGGCCAGCGGAGAGCGGACAACGGAGAGCGGAATTGAAATTAACATGGCATTCCGCTCCGCTGCTAGGAAAACAGTAACATTAAATTACCTAAGACCAGCTGAGTCCGCTCTCCGCGTTCCTCTCTCCGCTAGCCGACTACGCGCCTAGGAAAACCCGGCTTAAGAGAATATTCTTATTCGGAAAACTAGAGTACTAAGGTTGTCAAAAGTTATCCTAGACTTAAAAAGTATGAAATAAAATGTGATTCTGCAAACATAGATTTGCAGGGTTGAACTCTATTTTTGTAAAAAGAATTAGGTACTTTTTAGTTTCACTATTTCCCGTTTGTTGTTGTTAACTAAAGCTTTATAAAAAACGCCGCATTCGTTACACCATCCTGCACTATCAAGGCTTCGACAGTTTTTAGGCAACGTACATTTATGTCGGATATTAGTTTTGGTTTTACCAAATACTATAAATATATTATTACAGTATATAATTGTGGGAAGTTGTTCACTTAAAACCTCTGTTCAATACTACTGTTCTGAAATCGTTACTTTATCATTATATTGTATCCATATAGTAACAACACAATTAAAAAACTATCAAAAAGTGCAAAAGTTTCAAACAAATCAGTGCTAGGCATTTTTAATTCCCGCATAGTCTTTCATTAAATAGTTTGATCAAACGAGGATTAAAATAACTCGAAATTAAGCCATGAAGGTTGGTAAAGTGGATCCAAAGTTGTTGAGTGGTTGAATGCATTCACCATCAATCACACATACGAAAAGGCTTATAGTCGTCGGTAAAGCTGTGCATAAGGATTAAGTTACTCGCGGATTGTTGTACTGTCACATGAAACGGACGCAAACAAGTTATTGGTTTGGAAGAAAATGTTCTATGAAAATCCGATTCCATGAAAACACACTGACAGGCCCGAACAGGGAATAATGATCTGACCTAAGGGCTAACGTATCCAAGAAGAGCACGCCACGGCACAACCTAACCTACTGAGGAGATAAGGTGCCTAGGGTAAGAAGGGCAATGGGCACACAGGGGTTGAGGTATAGGACATAAAAGGTAGGTCACACAAGGTAGGACAGTAGATCACACAGGGTAGGTCACTTAGCTCAGTACTCACCACTGTGTACATCCTGGGTGTCGTGGGAGACTGTGCAGAGTCTTCCTAGGTTTGGAGTATAAATACAGAACGCCAAGGACGGTGCGGCGTTCATCCCCCCTAACCTGGAGAAAGAGGTAACGGCCCCGCCACAACGGCACACGACAGTTTCCTAGAGAAACAATATTGTGGTACAATTAGAGCATTCTTGTGTTGCAATCCTCCCACGTGGAAGGTGGACCTTCCCCTACTCCGAGCCCGCGGGTCCTGGCAGTGAATGGATCGAGGCTGCCGTCGACGCCATTTAGGCACTGGCCATTGTCAAACTCTGCAGGAAGGACATCACGGTGTTGATGACAGGGGAGTTACGATTTGACGAGACATTTTACCTTGGTTCAAAGATTACACCATCCAAAAACGAAGGATTTTATGAGGCAATCGCTTTTTACAATCTGCTTGTCACTGATTGAAAACAATGACTAAATCAATGGCCGGCACAGTATTGTGTTCAAACCCACTTTGTAGTGTTAGACGTAATTGTTTTGAATTATCTTTGTGAAATTTTTTTTGTTAAACTTTTAAAATATACATAGAATATAAATGCGCTAACATATAAACTTGTATGGTACTAGGGGACCATAGCAACAATTAATTGATGCTTTTTAGTTATTTCAAAGTGAAATTAAATACACTATTTTTACACATTTAGTCATGGTCTTCCACTAACAAGATACATGTCAACACTGCATTACCATTCTAACCTAAAAACAGAACACCAAAATCAATTAACACACAGATACGCAACGTTCAGGCCTACATCAGCTGGTATATTCAAAACAGCTTTTAGAATCACTGTAGCAGTACTTCCATTGGAAAATGACTGAATCTTTGACGGCCTGTGTGGCGGAGCTGGGGTAATTTTTGACACTTCTGGTATTTTCCCACCGTCCTTAGACCTTAAGCTTTTAAATAAATCCTCAACAGAAATGCTACCTTTTTCCTAACTCGAGATTTTTCGTGGGGACCGATTCGCTTACGGAATTATGGATACCAATGACTATCGATAGGGCTACTAAAAAGAAGACATTCCATCTATATGGACCAGCTGTCAAAATTGTTCTATTAAAACAATGCGGTTGAAGGGGCCAGTCACAGAGTACGCTAGTAAAACATTTAAACTTCTACCTATTATTGTTGTTAAGTCAGTTTACCTTAAATAAAAGAGGTGAATCAATTTAACTGCGTCCATTTTGATGACAAAACTGGCAACAACTGTAATATGGAGATTATATTATATGTAATATGTTATCATTAGTCAAAGATTGCCGTATACCCATCACAAAAGAAATATTGGACCAAAAATACTTAATGTTTTGCGTATCTATATTTCCATTGCCGATTCATAATCGTTCTAACAGGCCCCTGGCCTCAAGCTTACAAAGTACTAAGGCCATTTTTGTGAAGTTAGTATTATTTAGTCTCCAAGGCAACAAATCATTCACTGCAATGCTAGTGTACACTTAGCTTTTATGTTTAAACTAGCTGTACCCGCGGGCTTTGCCCCGCTTAACTTCATAAGTATTCGCATGGCTCAATCACGTCCTGGTTGAAGTTCGTTCGCTACGCTCACTCACCTTCAGGTTGAAAATCGTTCGCTGCGCTCACTTGTTTTCAGGTTAGCTCGTTCGCTACGCTTACTCGCCTACAGGTTGATGTTCGTTCGCTACGCTCACTCACCTTTTGGTTGCAAATTAGCTGTTGTCATAAATTTTAAAAAGTCACCCCTTTTATTGTTTATAAAACTTTGATAAAGGTTTTTACGTTTTAATATTTAACATTGGTGAATTTAAACGTTGTTGAGTGCACAGGTGAGATGCGATTGGGGTTTAATACATTTGGACTTATTAAAAAGTATAATAGTTTTCTGTGCTGCACTCTGTAGAAACACCGTGGCACTATTTCAAATCATGACTAATGCTTATACAGAATGTTGTGATTATTCAAACCTACAAAACAGTGAAAGTAAACATCTGCTTTTAAATCTATATTTATTTGTAAACATTGTAGATCAAAAAGTCTGACATTGGCCCACTTAAAACCCTATGGGGCAGAGCCCTTTTGACGGATCTGCACCAAACTTCACTCGAACCATCCTTGAAAGATGCTTAATAATGCCTGAAAGTTTCATTACAATCTGTCGAGCGGTTTCGGAGTCCATAACGTATATACATACATACATAGTTCCTCTTTTATAGATATAGATGCTTTATACGTAGCACTTAACTATACAACTGCATTAAAGAGATGAAATACAATAATTTGTAAAACTAAATAGTAGTAGGTTTCACCATTCTTGGGTGATGCCACTAATGTATAAAAATAAGTTAAATTCAAAAATATTTGGTACCTAATAATAAAGATGTTAGTAGCAGCTTTTTTAAAATATTTATGTTTATTCCCTATTGTGGTATATTTAAAGAAATCCAAACTTGCAATATCATCAAACTAGTCACTCCCACCCAAGATGCATGGAGTAAAAGTACTTTACTCCATACATCTTGACTCCCACCCAGCCCATGTGTTACAAAACATCGTTCGTCAAAGGTTGATTTCTGCAGACTGTGTGAAAAACAAGGGCCGGGAGAAAGAAATGTTATCCGTGTAGTTTAATTACAATATGCCTAGATAGTGTTTAGCTTACACTCATATAACTGTTTCCAATGAATCCTTCAGGCAAAGTCCGATAAATATCATCCTACTAAAATCTTTTGCTAAGGTCATTCGGTTATCTACTCTCGGTGCTTTATAAAAAGCAGCTTTATAAACATGATTTTTTTGTCTCAATATTAATCTATAAAATACCTATTACCATAACAAAATAAAAAGCATGAATTAAATTCGTAATTTTCAATATATAATTAATAGAGTCAAAACCAGGCAACATAATTGTTTTGATTTATAAACAACAAATGTAACACATGTACTGTAAGACCGATATTTTTTCAAAGATTTTAGAAGTATTTCTGGAAAATTTAAACATGTACGGTTTGTGTAGTTACATAAAGAAGCAATGGCCTTGTATATTGTAAATAAAACATATTGTCTACCAAATAAACATGTTGGCAAAACAGTAATTAGCTGAATCCTAGGGGAATAGTTGACGATCATATCAGTAGTATCAAAACAGTTTGATTAGTGAACCACGAGGGAAAAGCAAGCTTACAGCTTTTCCCGAGAGGTAAATCATTGGACAACACCGTAAAATAATCGTTAGGTTTTTAAACATTATAACAATATTTTATTAAGTTTTTAATGCACATGTGTAAATGCATCACATGAAATATTGTATACAATTTTCGACTCTTCTTTACATTAATATTCTCCTCTACTTTAATAAACAAGATATTTTTGATAGTAGAATTACACAATTGCTCTATTCGGCCTCTATTCGAGTATTTTCGACATCACATTTGTTTGTTCACTTTCCAAAACCAACAATCAACGACGATCATATCCATGCCGCCTCGCACGACGCGGAAGTGCTCGTGTGTGAGGAGGGACTTTGCTAGTCGTGAGTGACGCCGCCGCCGCTGGTCAGATGCCCTTTGGACATTCGACCGAAGGACGCTGAAATGGCAATCTCAATCAGACCTGGCGGGCTGGGTGACGGATGAACGGTAAGTATCATCTGTGCGAGGTCGTCCGGCCAATCACGCTGCCGGAGCCGCCGCGGGATATAGAGTACTTCGGGTAATGAAGGATAATCATGTCGATAATTAAAGCAGATCCTTGACAATCCCTTATGCAACTGGATGATGGAAGGGAGCGGAGACCGTACATCAGGGATGAGTAATCGCCTCATGAGGAAAACATAAACACGCGTCGTCGAGTACGTGTTAAGTAGCCTAGTTTGTGTAATGGTGTTTACCATAGTCGCCGGAGCGTGGTGGTTACAGTAATGGGGATGTTGGCTCACCGATGAGATGGCTGATGAGAGATGAGCTTGCATAGACCTACATTGGAGCAAGGTGTGCTTCTGCGGTACTAACGTATGTGCTCGGGAGTTTACAAACAATGAAGTTCAAACACTATGTATGGAAGGATAGATTCTGTAAATATTAGTTAATTGTGATTGCAAGATTCAATTTTGTCTGTGTTAGTAATTTGAATTAAATGTGAAAGTTTGTGTGTTTGTTTTTTTGTTTGTTTGTTTAAAGTTCAATCACGCATTAACTACTGGATGGATTGGGCTGAAATTTGGCATGATGGTAGCTGACGTTCCCGATTAACATATAGGCATATTCGTATCTCAAAAATCCTTTCGGGCTCTGCCCCAGTGGCTCTGTAGTTTCTCATGTTAACCTTATGAGTATTCATATTTAAAGGGAATACAATTATTTAGTCAGCTGTTTCAACTAAAAAAGTTGGTTCTATGATATGCAAAATCATTAAAGGTTTTAAGATTTACCAACAGGGTGCAGCACTATATTTTTTTGCATTTATGAAAACATTCAATTTTAACTAATCAGCAACAACAAACTGTCATATGCAATGAGAACTGTCAAAGTAGGATTTTTTACAGTTTTTTTTACAGTGTTTTTAATTTTATGAATAATTTTTGATATTTTGTGAATTTTTAATAATTTATTTTTTTCTATTGTTTAGATGAAGTGGTGGAATATTATGGCTATGGTAGATGTGATTTTACTACAGTATATCGCAAATTTAAAGAAGCTAATTTTATCAAAATGTGTCCTCCCCCATTACAAGTTTAAAGCTTGAGTTGAGTATAACTGCTATAAACATGTTTTTACTTATATGCCACCCCGTACGAAGGACGGGTACTCTGCTAGTACTTTATAAATAACCAGTTACGATGAATGCGCCTTTTCATAACATTTCTACAGTATATTTAATTGAGCTGACATTACAAAATAGGAAAGTGCATGGTATTTCCTCTCTTAATCTATCACTATTTTAATGAGCGTATATCTATTCTACAAAACAGTTATGATGGTTACTTGATACTTGATACTTGTGTCCTTAATC